TATCTTCATGTTACAAATGTTGTCATTTCTGTGACTGTTGTCTATCTTCATGTTACAAATGTTGTCATTTCTGTGACTGTTGTCTATCTTCATGTTACAAATGTTGTCATTTCTGTGACTGTTGTCTATCTTCATGTTACAAATGTTGTCATTTCTGTGACTGTTGTCTATCTTCATGTTACAAATGTTGTCATTTCTGTGACTGTTGTCTATCTTCATGTTACAAATGTTGTCATTTCTGTGACTGTTGTCTATCTTCATGTTACAAATGTTGTCATTTCTGTGACTGTTGTCTATCTTCATGTTACAAATGTTGTCATTTCTGTGACTGTTGTCTATCTTCATGTTACAAATGTTGTCATTTCTGTGACTGTTGTCTATCTTCATGTTACAAATGTTGTCATTTCTGTGACTGTTGTCTATCTTCATGTTACAAATGTTGTCATTTCTGTGACTGTTGTCTATCTTCATGTTACAAATGTTGTCATTTCTGTGACTGTTGTCTATCTTCATGTTACAAATGTTGTCATTTCTGTGACTGTTGTCTATCTTCATGTTACAAATGTTGTCATTTCTGTGACTGTTGTCTATCTTCATGTTACAAATGTTGTCATTTCTGTGACTGTTGTCTATCTTCATGTTACAAATGTTGTCATTTCTGTGACTGTTGTCTATCTTCATGTTACAAATGTTGTCATTTCTGTGACTGTTGTCTATCTTCATGTTACAAATGTTGTCATTTCTGTGACTGTTGTCTATCTTCATGTTACAAATGTTGTCATTTCTGTGACTGTTGTCTATCTTCATGTTACAAATGTTGTCATTTCTGTGACTGTTGTCTATCTTCATGTTACAAATGTTGTCATTTCTGTGACTGTTGTCTATCTTCATGTTACAAATGTTGTCATTTCTGTGACTGTTGTCTATCTTCATGTTACAAATGTTGTCATTTCTGTGACTGTTGTCTATCTTCATGTTACAAATGTTGTCATTTCTGTGACTGTTGTCTATCTTCATGTTACAAATGTTGTCATTTCTGTGACTGTTGTCTATCTTCATGTTACAAATGTTGTCATTTCTGTGACTGTTGTCTATCTTCATGTTACAAATGTTGTCATTTCTGTGACTGTTGTCTATCTTCATGTTACAAATGTTGTCATTTCTGTGACTGTTGTCTATCTTCATGTTACAAATGTTGTCATTTCTGTGACTGTTGTCTATCTTCATGTTACAAATGTTGTCATTTCTGTGACTGTTGTCTATCTTCATGTTACAAATGTTGTCATTTCTGTGACTGTTGTCTATCTTCATGTTACAAATGTTGTCATTTCTGTGACTGTTGTCTATCTTCATGTTACAAATGTTGTCATTTCTGTGACTGTTGTCTATCTTCATGTTACAAATGTTGTCATTTCTGTGACTGTTGTCTATCTTCATGTTACAAATGTTGTCATTTCTGTGACTGTTGTCTATCTTCATGTTACAAATGTTGTCATTTCTGTGACTGTTGTCTATCTTCATGTTACAAATGTTGACATTTCTGTGATTGTTGTCTATCTACCTGTTACAAATGTTGTCATTTCTGTGAATGTTGTCTATCTACATGTTTACAATTTCTATCATTTCTGTGAATGTTGTCTATCTACATGTTTACAAATGTTGTCATTTCTGGGACTGTTGTCTATATTCATGTTACAAATGTTGCCATTTCTGTGAATGGTGTCTATCTACATGTTACAAATGTTGTCATTTTTATGACTGTCAACTATTTTCATGTTAACAAATGTTGTCATTTCTGTGACTGTTGTCTACTACATGTAACAAATGTTGTCATTTCTCTGACTGTTGACTACTGACATGTTTATAAATGTTGTCATTTGTAAATATGTACATATTTAATATGATATATTAATTGGTACAAATAATAAGATAAAACAAACAATTTCTTATGATTTTCAAGATTTTATTTAATAACTCAGAAGCATGATGATTTATTGCATGAGGATACAGTTGTATTTGCAGAAGTATTGAATCAAAACTTGTGAATGAACAAACAGCCATTTTCCATCAAATTCAAAGATTTTAAGAGAGATATAGAATATTGATAATTCAAATATTATCTTCAGTACACTTTTTAAATATATTTCTATCATCACACAAACCTGTTTGGGAAATAAATTGAATTAAGACCATGACATTGAATGGTAGAACTTTATAATTTCTTGTTATTTCGCTTGTTTATTATTAAGCCCTGAAATAATTAGAAGGATTAATAGTATTACAGTTTTCACTCAGTATTATTTCATCTTTTGGTCACCCTTACTTGCCTTTTTGCTTGATGTCATATAGTCCCATATTATTCTAAATGAGAAATGAAATAATGATAATTATGATCATTATATTTGGAGGGCAAAATAAAAAGATTGCATAACAAAAAAATCTCAAGTGAAAACACAGAATGATGACCAGTTCCTTTTAATTGATGCTAGCAAGTAAAAAGTCAAACTATTTGGATGGAGAAAAAGACTGCTGATTAAGCGAATAGTTGACTTATTTACTGGAGAAAAAGACTGCTGATTAATCGAATAGTTGACTTATTCCATTGAGAAAAAGACTGCTGATTAAGGGAATAGTTGACTTATCTAATGGAGAAAAAGACTGCTGATTAAGCGAATAGTTGACTTATTTCATTGAGAAAAAGACTGCTGATTAAGCGAATAGTTGACTTATTTAATGGAGAAAAAGACTGCTGATTAAGCGAATAATTGACTTATTTCATTGAGAAAAAGACTGCTAACAACAAGAAAGTTTACTTTTCTTCATGATGAACATTGCTACTACATCTTGCCAAGGTTAACCCTTTCACTCTATGTAACTTTTGTAGACTCTACCATGCATTGATATGGATGAGTCCATTACAGTCTACAGTGGTGAAAGGATTAATTGCAATTTTTTGGTGGGCTATTTAAATCACCTTTTGTTTGTTTTTGGAACTGATCGAAAAATAAGATGGCTGATGAAGGGCCATCTTGAATTGTGAGAGCCAGAGACTGCGAGCAGTATTTCACAGAAAGTATGTGGAAAGTCATTATTAGTATGAAGTTGTAGAACTTTTAGATATTTACCATCTTTTTTAATACACAGTCAAGTGTGGCATTGTCAGAGGAGGAGTTTTTCAGAGCCCAATTGGCTGGACTCTTGGTTTCATGTACCATGTATGATTCCCAACAAAGTAAGACTCAGATCCGTCTCTATCACAGGAAATGTTACCTTTTATTTGCTATTATGTTCTTGGTAACTATTTAGTCGTTTCATGCATCATGTATGATTCCCAACAAAGCTAGACTGAGATCCATCTCTACCACAGGAAATGTTTTCTCAGGTCTATTTGACACATATTTTACTTGTATTTACTTGGACACAAAGTTTATTTATTTATCAGACAGTTTTTTGTTTAACTTGTGTATATTGTAGAGAGAAGGCAAACGATACCAGCAAGAAATACTACATAGGCAACTTCCTGTTTATAATTATTTATTAAGAGGCTAAGTGGAGTCTGTCACATGACATTGTGACAGGCTAGGTGGAGTCTGTCACATGACTTAGTAATAGGCTAGGTGGAGTCTGTCACATGACTCAATGAGAGGCTAGGTGGAGTCTGTCACATGACACTTGGAGCCTGGTGGAGTCTGTCACATGATGTTGTGACAGGCTAGGTGGAGTCTGTCACATGACTTAGTATTAGGCTAGGTGGAATCTGTCACATGACTCAATGAGAGGCTAGGTGGAGTCTGTCTCAAATTAACTTCATAAGAGGCTAGGTGGAGTCTTTCACATGACTCAATGACAAGCTAGGTGGATTCTATCACATGACTCAATGACAAGCTAGGTGGAGTCAGTCACATGACTCAATGACAAGCTAGATGGAGTCAGTCACATGACTTAGTGACAGGCTAGATGGAGTCAGTCACATGACATGGTGACAGGCTAGGTGGAGTCAATCACGTGACTTAGTGACAGGCTAGAGGCTTAGTGGAGTAAGTCACTGCTATCAAAGTAATAAGTTGACCTTTTTAATGGTGAAAGGGACTCTGTTAACTAAGTGAAAGCTGTCATATTAATTGAGGGCCTGTATTCATGAAACCTGTTTCATGTTCAATCATGGATTTTGTGATCAATCCTAATTTCTTGTTCTGGTTATAGATTAATGATAACATCTGATTTAGTCAATGGTTAGGACAAAGATTTGGAGACTTGAGGCCCAATACAGTGTTCAGTGTTTACATTGGACCTTTTGGTTGTTTGATATGATTTGAGTGATCGAGTTAGAAGAAAGATGGTTTGAGCACATGATCCATGCTTGAGCTTGATAAGTTAACCGTTTCATGGGCCCAGGACTACGGCAACACAGTGAAAAGTGGAACTACTTAAAAAAGAATGAGACTGCTAGAAAATGGAAAAATTGACCAATTTAATGCAGAGTAGGACGCCTCTAACACAGGGAATAGTTGAACTATTTTATGGAGAATGAGATTCTGCTAACAAAAAGATGGCAAACAAGACTTAACTGATTTACACATCTTGTCAAGGTTATAATAGCAAGGATAAACTTGTTATCAACAGAATTATCAGCCATCTTCAGTGAAACTTACTCTGGATACATATCTTTATCGAGACTATTTTATGTAGGTATCTTATTATCACGGAAGATTCATAATTAACTGAGCTTTGATTTATAATTAGTATTGTTTTTTTGTTACCCTGCCAAATGTGGCATTGTCAGAGGAGGAAAATTTCAGAGTCCATCTGTCTGGTTAATGGCTTTGAGCACCATGTATGATTATCAACAGATCCAAACTTAGATCAGTTGCCAGGCTAGGTGGAGTCTATCACATGACTTAGTGGCAGGTAATATAAGTCGGAGTCTGTCACATGACTTAATGACAAGCTTGTTGGACTTTATCACATGACTTTAAGGGACAAGCTAGGTTGNGGGGAGGGGGAGGGAAGGATTTTATTCAATAATTTGTATGCATTCTTATGTAAACATGTGGTAATGGTGTACAGTATTGGTCTGCCAAATAAAAAATGTGCAATACACAACACTTCAAGTCAGTGCTGGAAAGGCTTATATACAATGTTTCAAGTTAGTTGACAAGAGGTTGACTGAGTGTCTTTAACAGTTTGAAAAATAAATATAAATGTAAGTTATCTGTGTGCACGAGTAGGAATTCTGTGCACATGAGTTCCCTGTATTACTGTCTCCCATTGTGTTTAGTAGTTCGTGCTTCAGGGATCTAGTATGGATGTACGGGGCTGGTAAATTATTGTGATTTCCCTTATTTAGCATGGGCTTAACCTGTATAGATATAGTTATATTTACAGTTTTGTCTGAGAGACAAAATGCAACCATATGGGAGAGATATTTGAAAGGGCGTTAAATTTATTAATCATTAAATTATGGATGTGCGCTTTAGGCAAGTGTTATTTTCGTGATCACAGATTGACAACTTATCAGGTACATAGATAATTTGTGTACATAGATCGGAAAAGTGTACAGGGATGACTAACTGGTACGCACAGACCGGTAACTTGTGCACAGATTAACAACTCATATGCACAGTCCTGCCATATCAGTGTGAAACAATATCCTGTACAATCCATTAAAGTAATTTTTGATTTTCCAGGCTGCAACATTTTGCTGAATATTTCCTTGCCATGTCGTATCACTTTTGAAAGACAGCGTCAGATTAAACTAGCGAAAATAACCGACTAATCAGACATTGTCTATCAGTAGTGATATGAAACTTCATGGAAATTTTGATTCAGCAGCTTGGTTTTGGTTTATTAGTGTTTTACGTCCTATTTACAGCTATTGATCATTTAAGGATGTGCCAGGTTTTGATGGTGGAGGAAAGCTGGAGTTCCTGGAGAAAAACCAGGTCCGACCTATGGCCAGTGATTTTTCTCCGAGAACTCCTGCTAGGAACTTCACAAAGTGCTTTCAAATTGATTTTGTGCACTATGTGTAACACTGTTGTCGTTGGGATCATGGTCTTGATTGAATCTTCATAATAAACATGTATCTATAGAAGCTTTCAAATGGGCTTTTTTCAATTTGATATTTCCATTTTGTTTCTTATGCTAGTAAAAAAACTTCTCTATTCAAAACTCTGAAGGTGCCGATTTATCCCAAACCCAGTAGCCATTTTTATCACTAGTATCTGTTGATCTGATCTCTGATTTCTCAAGTGAAAGACATGAGGAAATTGTAAACTTTCTTTATAGTCTTAGTTCCTGTCAGGTCTTTATAGCTATAACACCACTACACAGATAGCTAGGGTTTAAATTCTGTCTTAAATTTGTAACACTCCTCCCTCACTACAGAACAACAATAACCAGTTAGGTGTGTAATCCTAGCTTTGTGATATTGACACTAAAAAGCTTAACCTCTAGTTCTGCCTGTGTACAAAGCTCCACCGAGGATTTCACGGCTCACAGATGTACCAGTAGCTGTTATAATGTGGCTTGATGTTTGATTTACTTTTTATATGTATTCGTCAGGAAAGGCATTTACCTTGATTTTGAAACAAAACCCCTACAAGCAATCCCTATAATTAAATACAAACGTGTTCTGGGGGCTGTGACAACTCCTACTCACATTTCTAAGCGTGTGTGTGTGTAATAAATAATTGGATGTTGAACTGTTAAAGGGGTGCCATGAGTAAGAAGGATATAACACTAGTACTGGAGAAGGCATTCTTTCACTCATTTGTAACCTTTGTGTTTTAGTGTACCAACTACTTAGTAACTTAGTACAGTGAGAATTCTTACAAATTAAGGGATAGAGAAAATGCTAGAAGAAATGCAATGTGGTGTAGATTATTTGAACTATTGGTAAGCCTTGGGAACCATAGGACGCAACATGGAGGGTATTGTCTTAGCTGCTTGTAACCAGGGGAAACTGTTGACTTCAAAATGGAGGGAATTGTCTGCAGTAACCAGGGGAAACTGACGACTGCAACATAAAGGAAATTGTCTGCAGTAACCAGGGGTAACTGTAGACTGCAACATGGAGAGGCTTGTCTGCAGTAACCAGGGGTAACTGTAGACTGCAACATAAAGTAAATTGTCTGCAGTAACCAGGGGAAACTGTCGACTGCAACATGGAGGAGATTGTCTGCAGTAACCAGGGGTAACTGTAGACTGCAACATAAAGTAAATTGTCTGCAGTAACCAGGGGAAACTGTCGACTGCAACATGGAGGGGTTTGTTTGCAGTAACCCAGGGGAAACTGTCGACTGCAACATAAAGGAAATTGTCTGCAGTAACCAGGGGAAACTGTCAACTGCAACATGGAGAGGATTGTCTGCAATAACCAGGGGAAACTGTAGACTGCAATATGGAGGGGATTGTCTGCAGTAACCAGGGGAAACTGAAGACTGCAACATAAAGGAAATTGTCTGCAGTAACCAGGGGAAACTGTCGACTGCAACATGGAGGGGATTGTCTGCAGTAACCAGGGGAAACTGTAGACTGCAATATGGAGGGGATTGTCTGCAGTAAACCAGGGGAAACTGAAAACTGCAATATGGAGGGGGTTGTCTGCAGTAACCAGGGGAAACTGTAGACTGCAATATGGAGGGGATTGTCTGCAGTAACCAGGGGAAACTGTAGACTGCAAAATAGGCTGTTGAATAGTGAAGGACAAAGCCATACTAGGCCGGTAGCAGTGGTCTACTCTTTTCATATTCTACCACAGTGTTCAAGGAAATTTATGCTTGGATGCCGCTTCAACCCAAGAGAAACCCCCTTGATACCAGGGATGCTCACAAAGACTTGAGAGAGAGAGTCTGCTCCAGTGGGGGACCAAGATAAGATTGCCACGAGTGCCATATGTCTTTAATATACTGGTGAGAGAATAGGCAAAATGGAAACTGAATGCAAAAAGATTGCCGATGACAAACCAAGTTAACTGCTGAACATGTGGAGTAAAATGTCCACCACTGAATCACATTTCTTAGACAAAATTCTTCAATAGCAGACTAGACATTGAAGTGGAATGAACACATCGTTATATCCTGTCTTAAAATGTTATAAAATCAACAATAAATTTTTATCAGGATTAAATTTACATCAAGAGTAAGTTTTTACAATACACGCTTTAAATATCAAGAATAAGTTTTAGCGATATAAGTTTATATCAATAGTAACCAGGGGAAACTGTCGACTGCAACATGGAGGGGATTGTCTGCAGTAACCAGGGGAGACTGTAGACTGCAATATGGAGGGGATTGTATGCAGTCACCAGGGGAAACTGAAGACTGCAATATGGAGGGGAGTGTCTGCAGTAACCAGGGGAAACTGTAGACTGCAATATGGAGGGGATTGTATGCAGTAACCAGGGGAAACTGAAGACTGCAATATGGAGGGGATTGTCTGCAGTAACCAGGGGAAACTGTAGACTGCAGAATAGGCTGTTGAATAGTGAAGGACAGAGCCATACTAGGCCTGTAGCAGTGGTCTACTCTTTTCATATTCTACCACAGTGTTCAAGGAAATGTATGCTTGGATGCCGCTTCAACCCAAGAGAAACCCCCTTGATAACAGGGATGCTCACATAGACTTGCGAGAGAGTCTGCTCCAGTGGGGGAACCAAGATAAGATTGCCACGAGTGCCATATGTCTTTAATATACTGGTGAAAGAATAGGCAAAATGGAAATTGAATTAAAAAAGATTGCCGATGACAAACCAAGTTAACTGCTGAACATGTGGAGTAAAATGTCCACCACTGAATCACATTTCTTAGACAAAATTCTTCAATAGCAGACTAGACATTGAAGTGGAATGAACACATCGTTATATCCTGTCTTAAAATGGTATAAAATCAACAATTAATTTTTATCAGGATTAAATTTACATCAAGAGTATGTTTTAACAATACACGCTTTAAATATCAAGAATAAGTTTTAGCGATATAAGTTTATATCAATAGTAAGTTTTAACGATATAAGTTTATATCAATAGTAAGTTTTAACGATATATATTTATATCAAGAATAAGTTCTAGCGATATAAGTTTATGTCAAGATTAAGTTTTTACGATATATATTTATATCAAGAATAAGTTTTTACAATACAAGATGATATCAGGAACAATATCTGTAATTATTACTCCTGGCAGAGGAGGAACATGCAACACTTGTACTGAGTACATCAGTCAAGGAATAGTATTTGAAACCTGAGTTAAAATATCGGAGACCATAAACTTAGGCAGACAGAAGAGAGAAAGTTCTACACAGTGGTTTTCTGCTGTAGTAAATGTGAAACATTCAAGAGAAGACACATTTTATAACCTTATTCCATTTCATCAGCATTGATGCTGAGCTTCATCTCAAAAGGGCCATTATGCTGCATGTCACTTTATAAGATTTACCAATAAAAATCTTAAGATGAGGATAAACAACAGACAAGATGGAAATGAAATGCAAACAAGACATATACTGTACAAATTATATAACAGTTTACTTTTTGTACTAGTTTAATTTTTTGATACTTTATACAAGAGGTGACTTGCAATTAATATGTAAGTACCAGTGGAGGATATAGGCTAATACTGTTATGAGTGCCAGTATAGGCAAGATGGAAATAGAATGCGTATTAAGATGATGGCAAACATTTTTTACATACAATTTTTTTCTATCATCATGTTCATGAAAGAAACTTTATACAAATTCTGATATATTATTGAAAGAATTGTTTCAGGAGACGTAGTTTTTAGCAGAGGAGGAAAAATTTGCTGAATGATGCCATGTACCATTGACATCTATCCCCTATGAAAGTCTAAAGGATTAGAGAAGACAAAACCGTTAAAGTACAGTCCATTTGTTAACTTATTCACCCCTGAAGACACATTTGAACTCTTCCAACTCAAAAGTTCGAATATTTCATTATGAAATTTCAGGGGTAAATGAGTTAACATCATCAAGTAATAATGTTGATACCCCTTTGCTAAAAAAATGGATTCTAGAAATTTCTTCAGAACTTCTAGAATCCAGCTAACTTGATTAGTTTTATAATATTTATTTATGTATATATTTAAATATATCAATTTTTTATTTATATTTATAGAGGCAAGGGTGATGTATTATTATCATATGAGTAATTCAATATCTACTCCATTTAATGACCTTTTTTAAGAATACAAAACCTGGAGTCAAAAAATGCACTTTTTGTCGTACATTGCTACATTAATAGCACAGAGGAAGATCATTAACGACCATTACAGAAATGATCCTGCGATACCTACCTTCTATGAAAGTTTAGATAGCCAAGACAAACATCTAATATCTTGAATTATTCAAGATTTGAATTCGTAATATATTTTCATACGTGTACCTAACTGAATGTGAAGTAAAAACGCCTTTTGGAGAGTTTGATGATAACTTTGAAAAGGTCAAGTAACTCATTCACCCCTGAAATTTCATAATGAACTATTCCAACATTTGAAATTGGAAGGATTAAAATATGTCTTTAGGGGTGAATAGTTAAAAGTCCTGCCAATGGAAGACCTAATTCTTAATTTTCGAACACCTGATGGAAAATGGCTGTTTATCATTTGAGAATAAAGCACTACTAATAACATGTCTTTATCCACAATACAGCGTTAAGAATAGCACAAGTGTACAACAATATAGTTTGTCATGTAAACAGTTTCTACAAACAAAATGATAACCATCTATGACATCAAGAAAAAACTAGTGGTATCAATTTTATTATCTACATTCATTTGATAAGACTAAGTAAAAGACTTTTGATTAATGTTTACCTTTGACCCTAAATTCAACAGAAATGTTGGTACCCAGCGTGTAGTAGCATGTTAGTTTTAAGCGTGGCAAATGACTAGGGTCAAAATACAAGGGAAAGGTTTTTTTGTCCATGAGATGCGATTCCAAATAGGAAAAATAGAAAATGTCTGGGTCTGCCACCGATACATAGAGCTTACTACACACTGTTAACATTCAGTTTGTTGTACAATAAGTTAAAAAATAATATCTGAACAATGAGATTGATCGCTCAATACAAACAATGTTAAGTGTAGGTTTACAATACCCCAACACTGGAGCGATTCTCAATGAAACCTTAAACCAAACCTGTAGTTCAAAGCTGTAAGACTGTTTTATTAACAGGTGTTATGCAATTGATACAGAAGAAAGGAGAGTACATTTATATGTACCTGTTTTATGTCCTGTAAACTGATATGTGGTTTTTAAAACCCTCCAACTAGAATAAGGAGTATATTTAGGTCAATGGCAGAGTGGATTCTGACATCATTGACACACAGGCCTTCATTGACATGTTCCATCATGATTTTATAGCCCAAAACATTTAATCCTTTTTATTTTTCCCCTGAAAACGCTGACACTTGATTTCACTGATACCTGACTTGACTTAATTTAAAAAACATGCTTCATCATAATTTTATATCCCCAAAAGTCTGGTTCTTATGTATTTATCCCTGACTATAATGACACCTGTCTTTTCTGACACCTTTCTTAATTAACATGCTCCAGCATGATTTAATATCCCAAAAATTTTGATTCTTTAATATTTTCCCAATCTATAATGACACCTGTTTTTACTGACACCTGCCTTAATTAACAACCTCCAGCATGATTTAATATCCCAAAAATATCCCTGTCGTTACTGACATGTGTCTTAATGATCCCATTTAAGATTAACTTGAGCATGACACGGTAGGTAGCAGATGGATACAAAAAGTCTGTCCTTACATTTCACTGTTACAATAACATACAGCACCAATATATAAAAGTGGTTTAATCATGTTTTTTCTCTGTGCTCTGAATCACTTAGATTGAATCTAGTTGTTGCAGGATAATAGCCAGCACTATAAAAAAAGGTGGATTCAATTGATTTCATTTATACTGTTCGGTAAAGCATTCAATCAAAACACATTTTATCATATTTTCAGAAAACTAATGTACCGCAATATAATAAAATTACACAATGTACCAGGAACCGTTTGTCCAGTCAGACTTTCGCCCGCCCAAACTGTTCCCCTTCATTGGCAGAATTCAGAAGAAATTTTGCACCTTTCACATGTAATGACTATATGAATTAAGTATGGTGTGTATGAATATTTGCTGTCCGTTAAAATTTCGCCCTTATTAATGAGGGCAAAAATTAAAAGACGAACGAATAAGCTAATATTTCGTTCATCATTTCACACTTGACTTTGTTTTTAAGGTAATTTGATATTTTTTCAAGGACCCTATAAATTATAGGATTAAGGCTTAGGATGTGTTGATGGTGAATCATTTACAAAAAGCTAGGGCAGAATGAGTGTAGCACTGTAAGTGTGTATTACCTTGGACGTAACATGACAGTATTACACAGATATAAATACACAGATGTAACTACAGACCATGGTAGATCTGAGATACAATTACGTCTACTGGGTGAATATGCCACGATCTTTCCCAGCTTTGAGCGGCTTCAGTATTTGAAGAGCAGTATAGACATTCGTTTCCTAAAACACGGGCTGGATACAGAGACAACCAGGCCGGTGCCATCTAGATTGCTGGGACAATTGTACATGGTACACAGGAAAACTGCAATATTGCATTTTCATCAAATACCTGTTTTCCAGTGCTTGCTAATTCATAGCTTTGAGTTGATTCTTCCAAAAAGTCAAACGTTTCATTTTCTTTGTGTAAAGAAGGACAGAAACTGCCAAGTTTTCTTAGTGATGAAATTCGTTTCACTGTAATCCACTTGTCCAAGCCCATTTTGCAGTGATGCTGTAGCTACGAAGAGTTCACAGATATATCCTAGAAAAGGAAATAAATAAAAAAACCTTCATTGCCATATTTATATAATTTGCAATTGATGTGTTTTTCTGGCAGGAGCGAGTAGAAAGTTCACTTATGCTACATAAACATTAATGATCTGAGGTCAAAATGGTGATGTTGATGATCTGACAATGGTCAGAGAAGAAAACTTTTCTGCAAAAAATAAATAAGTTGCCAGGTATTGGCCACATGTGTGGTTTATCTCTGGATACCATCGACCCTTCTTTCACCACCAAAACCTGGCTCATCCCTAAATGACCGTATATGTAGTTGTTGATAGGATGGAGAGGAAGAACAAACCGAACAGATCAAATGTGAAATTAGCATATATTCTTGTAAGTGTGATAAATGGGATTCTAAATTTATTTTCCATTTCATAGCAGATATTATCCCGATTTCTTTTCTGTCTGACTCCGCTAAAATAAGCTTTTTAAAGTGCTCACCAAATAATATACAAGATTTCTTTAATTCTGTATGCACAAATAATTCACTTCGGCAAAACGCTATATCTATAAAGTTATATAATACTAACAGGTCAACATTACAGTATCCCTATATACAAATCGACGGTGTCAAATTTACTGTTTACATGTAGTGTGAGGGAATTTTCTAAGAATTAAGAATTAAGAACTGGCAAATGTCTGCAATTTCAAAATATAAATACGAACTAATTCTGGAAACAATGTTTGCGAAGAGTAGTAATGGTGAGATTAATATACTTGCAGGTGTTTGGTGATAGGGACTAACAGTAATTGATTCTGGTACTGTACATTTAATTGAACCACTATCGGTTTCTCTAGGGACACATGGAATGCTGTGTTTATGATTAAATCATTATCACATACCTTAATTGATCACACTTCAATCGGCTCAACCCAGCACAGTGGCTACATGTCTGTGGTATGTCGGCTGGGAACAATGCCTGGTTTAACATTTGGTGCAGAGTCTGGTGTCTGGCTCCAGGACAAACACTAATTGATATGTCATCAAATCCTAAAAAACAACAACATTGTTCCTAGTTTGAAATCAGAAAGCATCGATTATAAATACCTAGAAAATAAAATTGATTATATAATGTGTGCATTCAGCCTGTTTTTTGTCTTTGTGTTGGTTGTGTGTTTGTTTTACCAGAGTATTGATAAATTCTGTCACACGGATCAGAGACAGTGACATAGATAGAAATATTCTGCCATAATTCTTCAGTTACTGACATGAATAGCAACCAACAGGGTAATAACCCACAGGTAACCTTAATAACTTAGGTTACCCAAAAACCTACAGGATTGTTCTTCGTAGGTTCCTAAAATCTTACAGGGTTATTTTTTGTAGGTTCCTCAATAACCTACAGGGTTGTTTTTTGTACGTTCTTCAAAAACCTACATGGTTGTTTTTTTGTAGGTTCCTCAATAACCCACAGGGTTGTTTTTTGTAGGTTCCTCAATAACCCACAGGGTCGTTTTTTTGTAGGTTCCTCAATAACCCACAGGGTTGTTTTTTGTAGGTTCCTCAATAACCTACAGGTTTGTTCTTTAAAGGTTTCACAATAACCTACAGGGTTGTTCTTTGCAGGTTCCTCATTAACCTACAGGGTTGTTCTTTGTAGGTTCCTCAATAACCTACAGGGTTGTTCTTTGTAGGTTCCTCAATAACCTACAGGTTTGTTTTATATACACCCGTTGAAATTCGACGGGAGTATTATGGTATAGTGTCTGCGTCCGTCCGTCCGGTTAAAGTTTTGGTGCAAGTTTTTTAAGTGGTGTACATGTTCAGTCAGATCATGTGTTATTGTCCTAATTTTTGGCATGAATGTTCATGTGGGGTCTAACAAGGTCAATATGGATTTAATTTGGTAAAAATAATTCCTATTTTTGTAAATTTTGGACTTTACTTTTTTGGAACAAATTTTACCAAGTCCAAGAATATTTTGGCCAAGTCTTTACAAGGGTCTGATAATCAAGATGGCAGATGCTGAATTTGTCCTACATTTCCCATTCCCATTCATCTTTGGTGGATCCAGTAAAGAAGAATTGCCGATAGTGAGAATACAATTCCTATTCATGACTGATTATCATTTTTCTACTGTTGTGAAAATTTGTGGTTTAATTGCCAATTGCCAATAAAACTGACATGTCTATAAAACTAATATAAAATATGTTTGTTTCCTGTTTGCCTACCATCCCCAATTCAAAGTAATTGAAAAAGAGTTAAATACTGAACAATAATAATAAATTACACATTGCCAGAATCAACCCAAAATGCAACAGGAAACACATATTTTGTACAGACTGAAAAAAATGTAATTCTGAATTAAGACAATCACTCAATTCACACGAAGATAATTTTAAGCACAAATTTAGAATCTACTCAGATTCAATATGTATCTACATAGCCAATTATGGTAGACATGTCCCTATAAACCCACAAGTCAAATCCAATTAAGGGGAGTCAAAAACAATAATAATATCCTCTCAAGGGTCTACTGCATGCCCTGATTAAGAGGCATTAGGCAGTAGATTAGCAAAGAACCAATTAACATTACAGTGATGATAATCACTCTTGGTAACAAAAGCATCAGTGCAAGCATTTTTATCACATAGACATGACACTGGCTACCAGGTACTTTAAATATCAAACAAACAAAAAACCATTGGATAGGGTCAGACGGGCGTATTATGCATCCGTTTGTCGTGCTCTTGTTCTTTGTAGGTTTCTCAATAACCTTCAGGGTTATAATTTGTAAGTTAACATAAATCGTGCAGTGTCACAGTGTGTATCATCAAACTTGTAGAATTATAACATGGACAGTGCGGGGTAGGACAATTAAATATCTTACAGGACCAAACAAACAGTTGACAAGTCCAAACAAATATAAAAAAAGAAAGCTTACTTTGAATTACACTTTTATTTAAGTTGTTCTCATTAAGTTAAATCATTGCTCCGTTCATTGTCTTGTAAATGAAGGATATCCAGACGTCCTTATCATATGAAATATTCAGTAACTGTAAGCAACATTACAATGTTATTTTTTTTACTATCAAATTGCATTGGTTTATATACATTTCTTTATATTTGCTTGTATATTTTGTTCCTGAAATCAGGTCTCATATCAAATTTGATATGACAAATACGATATCCGGACGACACTGGTAGTTCAAAGTACATTGTATAACCCTAAAACCTGCAGTGTTAAAAGTTATAGGTAGCTATCAATTCTACAGCAGAACAATTCGTAGGTACATACTGTTATCCTAAACTTACTGGGTCATATTTTGAGCCTCAATCTCAATTTCTATGATTTTTGTTTGTGCAGTCAAAGACTGTAACTATACCCAACAGTGGTATTAGAAACGAGCTGGCCACGTGTCAGAGTTGTGTCATCAATGACCCCTGTGATCATGTTAGCAATAACAGCAGGCCCTTTTGTTGGCTGACTGCTGCATTCACTTACACAGGGCTAAACCTCTTACATTGTTGGAGTGACAACTTAACAGCGTATGTACGTGTTAATGTGATTTGATCCGATCGGCCACATTCATCAGCACATGCAGTTCCACAAACTTGATTTAAATCATTCTGGTCCAAATAGAGATAAGAAAGGAACAATGTTGAGCTAACAAAACAGGTTGGGAACAAAAAAAATACCGGTTTACAGAGATACAATACCTCTAAACAGGGATAACCTGGAATGGAAGTATACAAAAAAAATGTATACAAAAACTGCCGGTAAAAATTTATTATGAAAATTTGTATCTTCCAGCAAATAGGAAGATTTAATATTGATAAAACAAGATGCTAGTATGTAATGTTTGCAGAACCTTTTGAAAACTTGACTAATTCAGCAGCCATTTTGAATATCCTCTATTTCTTGCAACCTCTACACAATGCTAAAATTTGATCCTAAAGGTGTCGCTGAAGATATCATCATTTTTACCCGTAGCAATTTGAATTTTTGGTGTGCAAGTTTTAATTTCAATGTCCATTGTAATAAAAATATTATACTCCAAATGGGAAAATTGTACAATGAATACTTGCAATCTAACATAGAGCATTTTCAACCAGTGAATTGGCTGAATATTTCTTTTTTCTGAGATATGATGATATCATCTGAACAAACAGCTAAATAAATACCAGTTAAAGTATTATTTAACCCCAGGACGTACACACACAGGCTGTTTAATCTCCCCCCATGGACATTTCTAAAAGCTGGCAAGTATTATTACTTATTTAAGTCAACGGAGGAACTTTTTGATTTTGATTACACAAAGGGTGAAAATTAAATACAAAAAACCCAATACGACTCAGAACAAGCCAGTGAAACAGAACTCTGTTCCCAACCATCATCAATGATATATTACAACAATTTTCACAGAAAAGAAAGAATTAAAAGAAATTAAAAGAAAGAATTAAAAGAAAGAATTAAAAGAAATTAAAAGAAAGAATTAAAAGAAAGAAAGAATTAAAAGAAAGAATTAAAAGAAAAGAAATAAAAAAATGCTTAATTAGAAGTAATGTTTATTAGTTTTTAAAATTAATGTTACTTCAGGTTTGAAAGATATTGATTTGAAATTAAAAAATATAAGCTCAGAATTATACATGTCTGACTTAAATAATTGTTTACACTGAAAAAATGCTGCCAGTTCATCTGAAATTATAAGAATTTATACTAAAATGTTGCTATACTGATTTCTTTTTCTATTGTACTTACAACTCAGATGTCAGAAAAAAAAATTTCGAAAGAATTTAAAACGAACACATCGTTAAGTGACGTACATGTACAAAACTATATAATATCTTGTAATGAACCAAACTTTTTTTGTTATATTAGAATCTTCATTCAAAAGTGTTTTGAACAGAGTAAGGTGGACTTGCAATGTTTCATAATAATGTTTATATATAGTTCTTTAGCTTTGTTCCTTGGCATTCAATCCTTTGAATGTATATTGTTTGAATGAAAAATGCAGTTAAGTTAAATTTGAATTTGACAATTTCATAACAGGAGTTTGTAACAGCACCAGGAAGTGTTGAGAAATATGACAGTTGACAGTTCAGGTACTAAATACACTGGAAATAGTGGCCTGAAGTGGTAATGCAATACAATTCAATCTTTTCGATATTAGTGACTATCAATATATCATTATAAAAATACTATTGAAAATAACACCTATAATAACTCTTAAGTGTTTCAAAGTCCAGAATTGTAAAATAGAACAATTTAAAATCTCTTTCTTCAATAAGACTACTATTGACTGGAACCATATCTGACCGACATCTCCACGCATAGTACCACGTACGGTGGAGAGTTTCAAAGGAACCCTCACCCTTCAGAACTACTAGACTACCTAGCTCCCCTCCCCCGACGCGATACATGTCCTTAGGGATGACTGCGCCGTATACCCACAGATACAGATAATCTTTGTTAGAGTGTAAATTAGTGTTAATTATTTTGTAACCTTACATTTGCATTTGTTATATACAGTTGGTTGTAAAAGCCTTAAAAGGCTTGTGTTGCCATGTTTGTAAATGTACCGACTATATATATAAGATAAAGATTACTTGACTTGACAATAACCACGATCTCCTTGTGTTATGAATTCTTCATACATTATACAAGAAATACATATTTTGTTCAAAAGAATCAGAAACAGTCAATTTACCTGTGTGTGGTGCTGATCTTAAAAGTCAGAGGTTTACTCTGCAATATCCAACCCTACTTTTGTACAACCTTATAAAACACAGTACCACGTTGAAAGTATTGTTTCAAGAATAACATCCCTGATCACCAGAATGAAAGACATACTTTGTAGAAATGCAGAGAAGTTTCTCACTAATCTCACTAACTGTTGACATGTAAAGACGACCGTCTGCACATCCCCTAACGGTCACGTTTTTCCCTGAATTTGATTTGCCTTTTCAACATTTCTCCCACAGCACAGTAGACAGAGACTAGATCTAGAATTCACCCGTAATATAATCAAAAAGTATCTCCATAACATATGTCAGACACCTTGACAGAGAGTCAATGATCCCAATAGATATAGGCAGTTAATTATACTCGCCATTAGATAAGTATAGGCTCCTCCCACAGATATAAGGTTGGTACATTTCAGCCAATCAAATTACACTACACCTTTAGGTTGACAGCTGACAATTCAACCTGCTAGTTCTGTAAGCCATGTGTGCTGTACATGTATTGGTGCACGTTGAATGTACATAGTCAATGTTGTAGCCTGTTTAGCCCGAAATAACAGGCTATTTAAAAGAAGCTGTTGTCTGTTACTGTGACACTTAAAACCTCCAAAAGTGCCCCAGTCGTAACGCTCATTGATCTGGCAGTGTCTCACCAGGAGTCATATTACCAAAGTGTGCAGCTTTTAATATTGACCCTAAGGTATGCAGACAAGGTCGACCCTATCAACAGAATTGTCACAAAAACATATCACTTACATAACAGTCTTGTTACATGTATTTATAATTATGTAAGACACACTCAAAGATGAGAAGTTTGTCAACTTACAGAGAAAACTTTAGGATTTGGATCCTCCTTATGATGATCACAATAGTGGTTTTTAGATTTTTACACCAAAATTTTTGCAGGAATGTCATTTAGTTAGCTACTATCCTTCCCATGTATCCTTCACCCATACATTTCTCTTAATTGGACTTGCCCAGTCATTGATTTGGTTAAGATTCAAATGTGGGATACATTGGTATTTTCTCTTGCTAGTTGGTGGCCCCTACCAGAGTCAAGCATGTAATTTGCAATAAAAATAGCCTCAGCTACTGTATTTGTAAACACGGTCAGCACATGATAGAGGATCACTGGGTCTGATGCTGGTAGAGACGTTATCTGTGTTCACTGTCAGCTGTGATTAACTTGTAAACTTTTAAACCTTTTAAACTATTTACCATATTTGCCAAAAGTAGCACCAAGGGCACTTGTTCAAAGTGAGATGTATATTAGGATAATAAATAATCTGAGTTATGTTAGAAAAAGTTGTGCAACTTCAACCGGTAATATCATAGAAGAGGACAAAAAACATTTGATTGTGGCTGGTCAGGTTTTAAGACCCCACTTCACCGAAGTCCTGTAAGCCATGATCACCTGATATATAAATCACTGCTTAATACCATTCACTGGGTCTGGTCACAGGTCTGCGAGAGGGGGGTCTATAGAATTTCAATTCCTTCCTCAAAAGGGGGACGGGGCTCTCATTAGAGCGAATACAGTAATAATGCTATCGTAGCATTCTGATAAAGGATCCATGCCAGTCTTAGGACTGTCACCTCAGTGTACTGTATATGTAATATCTGTTTATAAAAATAAACTATAATACTTACAGCAGGGTTAAGTTGCCGCGATATTCATTTAGATTTTTAGCTCACCTGGCCCGAAGGGCCAAGTGAGCTTATCCCATGGTGCAGCGTCCGTTGTCCGGCGTCCGGCGTCCGTCAACTTTTTCCTTTAAAATGCTACTTGTCCTGAATGGCTCAGAGGATTTTGACCAAATTTGGTCAGGAGCATCATTGGCCAAAGGGTTCTCAGTTTTGTATAAACGAAGGGTATAACACCCCTGGGGGCAGAGGGGCGGGGCCAAATAGGGGGAAAATAGGTAAATCTTTAAAAATCTTCTTCTTCTCAACCAATAGAAGGATTTTGACCAAATTTGTCCTAGAGCATCTTTGGACAAAGGAGACTCAAGTTTGTATAAACGGAGGGTGTGG